CACGCGCTTTGTACGTCCCCAGCCACCCCCTAAACCCCCCCCCCCCCCACCAACTACTTAATTATATATATATAAATTGTCTTGCAGATTACTTAACAGGTACAAGTGTTAACATTAAACCATTTCTCGCAATTTCAAGATCATGGGCAAATTTCGATTAAGGCCCGTACATCTGTGCCATTTTCTGCAAGTAGAAATGATTATTTGGCATATGTTGAAATTTGAAAGTTGGATCAGGTTATTTGTGATTGAACCAATACAAAATTATTAAAAAGAATCAAAGCTGATGCAAGTTATTTGTAATCCGACTTTTGATACTTGGCTTTTGCTCTCTACAACCTATTCAAGCAAATACTCTTTACTGAACTGAGCACCATAAACAACATCAGAGCACAAACTATAATCTGTCAAATAGTTTCACTTCCATTCCTCAGTAACACCAAACGCCGCACCGTACCGACAAAGGATCTGCAAATCAAGAAAATGTTATTCTTTAGATACCTTACAATTTTATAATAATATTCCTAAACTCATTTTTTTCTCCTTTTCTTTTCTGTGGCATAAAATAGTCAATGAAAGTATGTAATCAAAGTATATATAAAATAAGCACATACTGCCATGGAACATGTCCTACTTGCAGCCAATCCCCTTGATCGTTTTGAAAGGTGAGTGTGTAACTTTCTTCAGGTTCCTCTAATTTTTGGTCTGCACAAATATAAAATGTATAGACCAAATCAGAAATCATATCCACTATATACACCTCACAAGAAAAAGAAAATGTAGAAGTATTCCCTTACATTTAGCAAACATGCTGATCAAGGTGCTTGTAAGTGTCTGATAAGAATTGAAAAGCCTCAAATTGATTTTCCTTCCTATGGCTACCCCTTCCATGTTAACTTTGACATACAAAGAGTTTGATCCTCTACGTTGATTCTCATTAGCTTGAATCCTATTGTTCCTGATTTGGCCTCTCTCAGGACGCTGTTGATGGAGTTCTTTCCTCCTCCATGATTTAACTGGTGGCCACCCCACCAAATGGTTTTCTTCATCACCTTTCCTGTATGAACACATCATAAAAGTTAAGTAAGACAACGTTCTTTTAATGTCTTTCCATTACAGAATTTTTAGTTTTACTTACCTCTATCTATTTGTCTGTCTATGATCATATATATGATCAAAATGTTACTTACTAGTACTACTATACTAGCTAGTTTTAATTAGAACTTTAGAAGGGCTAAAACATACAAGTGGAGAAACAACTTACTTGTTTGGTGAGTGAATGTTTCTTTGAGTCTTTTTACTACGATCATCTTCTTCATTTGGCTGTCCACTCCACACTAGTAAAGGCAAAGGTTTAAAAAAATGTTCAAATGACTCTTCGAAGCTGCGCTTATTGTGTTTGACATGCTTTTCGCTTTCATAACCGCAACCGGGTCTCCACAACTCTAAACTCACCATCTGTTTGTTAAGGTTGAACTCCTCAACGGGGTTGTGAGTGGGGAGAGCAAGACCTAACTGAAGCTCCATGTATGTAGTAGTATAAGAACAAGAAGTAATTAAGGAAGCTAACTAGGACAATAGGCAAAGAAGAACATGTATATATGGCAAGTTTCAAAGTTAGATATAGATCACTAGCTAGCTTTCTCAAAGTTATTGGGATTATTTGACCTTTGGAACTTGTAAGCATAATATATATATGTGTGCGTGTGTGTGCATGTGTGAGTGAAGCATAGGAACGAAAAGGACTATTGTCTTGTGGAACAAGGATAGTTAGAGACAGCATGGAAGTTGGGTCGGCTAAAAGAGAAGCAGCATTATAAGCTAGTTGAGGAATGAGAGCACCAACGTGCCATAGCCACTTTACCCGCTTTCTTTTTGTTGTCTCAATTTTCCTGCCATGTGTCCCCACCTATACATATATTCTCTCTCTCTCTCTCTAGATTTTTTCATTGCTTAGGTTTGTTTATTATACTTAGTTGCTTAGTATAATGATGTATTAGGGAACTGTCATATTCATTAGCACCATAATTTGGTGAAGCTGAAAAGACTACGGATTAGGTTCATCAACTGTGGGAAGAATCTAATCTTGAAAACAATATTTTAGAGATAAATAAGACACGGACAGATAAGCAGATGCAGAGATATAATAATATAATGTTATTTATCAAGCGGAACAAGTTGTATTTGTTTATGATACGATTGGTCATCTACTTTTCTTTTTCCTTTTTCAATGGAATCTCTTTATAGCCAAACATCCTGTGTCAAATTTCATGTCGCCACCAGAGTTACTTGTTCTGATTCTGATCAATCATGTTGAACCTGTGTCAAACTTCTTGAGCCGGTAATCATAAATACTCCGCTTGACCATGTAGCAAACAATACCCCATTTGTTTAAGCTAGTTGATTATGAAATAGCTAGCTTCCAAAAATAAAAAAACAAAGAAACTAACAGTTCATGCACCTGTTGATATTGTTTGCTAATATGTCCAATGTGTCGGCTGATGCCCGTCAAACGTATCATGATTTTAGAACTCACACAAGTTCCCTGTTTCCACTGATGCACTTAGCTAGAAAATATTCGCCTCATCTTAGTTGATTAGTTAATCTCCCAAGCTACCTAACTACCCTGCTCTTAAAAATTAAAGAATTAATCGATACACTAAGGCTAAGAGTATTGATTGTAGTCCATGTATGGAGGAGTGAGAGGTTGTGGTGGACAAAGGTAGTGAACATGCACATAGTATGGTTAGGTATATGGTCCAAAATGGGAGTGTGTTGGGTTAGCAATAGAGCAAAATGGAGTGTTGGTCCAGAGGTTGTGAAGGCCACGTGATGGTGCAGGGGAAATGGGAAATTATGCTATTCAGTGAACCAGTTCTATGCTCCTTCTCGTGCGGTGAAGGTTGCAAACTCAACTAGTAGGACCTCAAAAATATGATACGTCTAATTCATTGCTTGCCCTTTACCTGGCATTGATTACTGCACCCACACCCTACAACTCAGTACCACATCGGACACTTGGTTTAGCATGTGTTGACAAGTGGCACCCTTGTCTATACTCACAATTACTTTTCAGGATAACATAATTAATAAACTTAAACTCGAGTGATTTTTTGAATCAATGATGTCAATTTTATGGTAAGTGGAGTTTATTTGAAGAAAAGTAAAAGTGATCACTTTTGGATATTAAATGAAATTAAAAAGGCTTCTGTTCTTGGTTGGATTGATATGTTTTACTTTGAATGTGAGGTAAAATTTAAAGGGATGGATACGATGTCACTCTCGAATCTTGATGGCGGAAAGATATGCAAAGCAAAGCGTGGCAAAGTTCTGTTCTCTTGGCCCACTTCAAGGAAGCGATATGCATCAACGCACTATGATATGACAATGCTATTGCTATTGCTTTCAGTTTCCAGAGAAACCTTCCAGATACCAAAACTTTCCTATTCTATGTTACAACTTATAACTGCCATAAATTCTTCCTATAAAATATTACACATACAATTTTCATAAAAATGTATTATTGAAATCATGTGTACAACTTTAATTATGTAAGTTATTAATGTCCTCCTTTATCTCGTTAATCTATGAAGCGTAAATAATTATATAATGAAAATATATGTTATATTAAATAAGCTTCTTCACCCAATAAGACTACGTATATTAAGTTTATAAAATACTTCCTGTTATTTCCATGTCCTATATACAGACTACAGTCATGTAGCAGATGTTTAACAAATTTATAATGTAAAAGCACAATAAGCCGAAGCAAAAATTAAAATCCACAGGGATTCTCAAGTTGTCAAGAACATTGACTATGGTAAAGTAAAACCAAATTCTTTATATGTAGAGCGTAATTATTATGTGCAAATCATGATTACCTGGTTTAATTTCTCATAATAATTCAGAACATCTTCCTTTCTAGAGGAAACAAAGTCAAGACATTTCTCATCTTTCTTTTACGTGTTGTCCAACTAAACTGCTACAAAATGTGGCATCGTTACTTAGAGCTCTCTTATTATTATTATTATTATTATTATTATTATTATTGCAGATGAAAATTGAGGGGGGCATATAGAAGTCCTTAAAAATAAATGCTAGTAATAGCTCTTTAAGATGTTGTTTCTTAATGATAAGAAATAGGAGTGTCCAAATAAATTGTTTGAACTGAACTGATCTAGAATTGAACAAAAAATAAATTAAATTAAACTACTTCTATAAACATACTGAACCATACTATATTGAAATTTTAGTTTTTGAAAACTAACTGATAGAAGAAAACTGAATTATTGAGTTAGAATAAAAGAACAAAGCTGCGAGAAGTCAGAGAACTGTTTTAATAATTGGTGCTGCAATTGTTGGATGTTAATATACTTGATGAACTTGTTATGTATAATGTGTACGTTGTTTAGTGCGATTGCTTACCTTTTTAATTTTATTTGTCAACCAGCAATGACCAAACCCAAGCACAGTGGCTACCTGACTAGGGACTGTTTAATAATTAGAGAGCATAGGATAGAACCTTGGCACCAACGGTAGTTTTTTAAATTATAATTTATATTATTTGAAAAATTTACAATCATTTAATGTAAAATTTGTTGAGGTAATGAAAGTATTTTTTTTCCTCTTTTAATATAAACATATACTTATTTAAGTTTTTCTTTCATGTGAAGTACAAAATATAGTTCGGTTTAAACTTTTAAAATAAAAAATAATTTAGTTTAGTTTAACTAAATTATTTACATTTGTAAATTGGTGTTGTGATTGGTCACTAAACTTCAAGGTTTCGAATTCGATTCTTGAATTTGATAAAACATGATGTTGAAAAGAATAACCTTAATGCAGTTAAGGTTTCGAGAGAGATTAGTCTTAACGAAGTTGAAAGATACTTTCACTAATATAATAATACAGAAGAAAAAAATATTTATATTTGACCTATTTATTAATTCAGTTTAATTTGAGTGAACTATTTTAATAGTTTAGTTCTTATATTTTAATTTAATTTTAACTTTTTTGAACACCTTTATTAAGAAACAACTGTTTATTAGAAAAGAAAAAAAAAATAGTAGACAAAGTGTGAATGAAAATTACTTATTTATAACATATATAAAGACAGTAACTTGATTTAGTGTACACATTTTTTTAAACGATTTTACCCTTAATTTTTTGTATAATAAAATATAATATTAAAAATTAATTATATTTATAAACATAAGACTCGAACTCAAAACCTTGATATTTGAGCTAAGCGTAGTACTAGTTGATCTAACAAACATTAATAATTCTTAAACATTTTTCTTAAATAAAATGTAGAGGTATAAATTGTCTTAATCCCACTAGTATGAATAATATTCTTATAAGGATTTGCAACTACTCCGATGGAATAGAAGATGTACTTGTCATTCAACACTCATGACGATGACGGTACTTGCAAAGACACTTTGATGCTTAAATTAGAGAGAAGTTTATGTTAAGAATCAAAATTAGGATAAAATGATACCTAGCTTTCTGTATATAAATCATTTAAGAGTGTTGTGTGATTTTAGGTAATAATCTTGCACAATATTTGTATATGTACTCCCATTATAACCTAGGAATTTTGGGTTGTTTGACCAGTAATGGTTTTCCAAGTTAAATAAGGTAGGAGTTCTCATTCTTGTTTGTATTTTGTTGGTGTTCTTTGTTCGGTGGGTTTCTTTTTGCATTTTAAAACTTGTGAGGTATGTTTCTTTGTTGTGGTGTTTTTATTGGTGTTTGTGCAAGGTACTTCTTGTAGTGATTTTGGTTGGTTATTTAATGTAGGGTATCTGCACACAATGTCGAAGAACGATGGTTCTAGAACAAGGGTTGACAACATCCCATCACAAAATGGTGGCTCGAGTCATGAGGAGAGTGAGGCCTCGAGGACAAAGATCAATATTCTTCGGTTTGTGTTAGATAATAGTCGATCAAAGAGGGCAACTTTAGCTATGATGTGTGTGCAATCAAAGACTAAGCGAGAGCTCTTGAACCATGAAAAATGGTGTTTGAGGAGGAGCGGGGATGCATTGGCGACCTGTGTAACAAAGTTTACTATTGAAAAGAATGTGGTGTTGTAAGAGTGTGATAAGTATGTTGAGGAGGTGGAGAATTTGTCATTCGAGTAGTCATTGCTATTGGCCCAAACTAGGGATTGTTAGGCTCGTGTGACGACATAAGAGAGTGCCACAATTGAGGAGCATGCTTGCAGTTTCCAGAAGGGTTATTCAACAAGTGGCATTTCATTTGTCGATTTTTCCTTGTAATAAGTTGATTGTTGATTTGGATGTTATTGATGATGAGCTCATGAAAGAGGCCAACCTTTCTTATGAGGATGACATAGAGAAGTCATCTGATGAGTGGGAGGACATGCTTATGACTTGTGGGGTTGATGTAACATTTGTTGATGGGGCTTTGATTTCTAGTAAGAAGGACATGGGTGTTACAAAACAAGTTTCCTAGGGATGCTGACGGTTGAGAGGGTAGGGGTGGGACCCTTTGTATTTTGTTTTGTTTTTGAAAGGTGTTTTTATTGTATGTGATCATGATGTTGACATGCTTGATTGAATTGTTTTTGGTGATTTGGTGGTTTTGTTTTTGTTATGCATTTGCTCGAAAATCATGTGAGTTTTTGTAAGAATGTAAGAGCTTGTTTTCTTGGAAATCATGCATGAACTCATAAGAACATGAGAGTAAAATCACCTGAGTTTTTGCAAGAATGTTAGAGCTTGTTTGCTAAAAAATCTCACGTTTTCATAAGAACGCGAAAGTTCATTTGCTAAAAAATCGTGCATAAATTCATAGGAACACGAGATCTCATTCACTCGACAATCACATGTGAGTTTTCGTAAGAACACAAGAACACAAGACGACCCCATGGTCATCTCGATCCAAATCACCAATTGAGGGATACAAAAAACCCTCATAAACCAATGCAACTCAACCAACATCCTAAACTGAAACACTTTCCTTTAGAGGATGTTGCCTTAGGATGTCATCAAACCATAATCCTTGTTGGGATTCACAAGCCACATAGTCAACACGAGAGACTACGTGGGACTCTTGACCAAGTTTAATTAGGAGTAATCTACACACCAAGTTACTAAACATTAAATATTTACTAGTAGGCACAACAACCTCATATAACATCATAATGAAAATGCACCTCAATGGATTAAGGGAGGAAGGTGTTAATAAACTTTCCTTGACCTCAATTATTAAGCAATGTGGTACTTTTAGACATACAAGAACAAACCCTCCAACCAAGACTAAGGGACAAGAATGACATGGGGCCACCTTCTAGTGTTAATATTTTGACCATAAGTTCATGGAGTTCGTTAGGATTACTGTATCCGAGATATTGTTCATTTTAACACTCATTGAGTTATCACAATTTTATTCTTGAAAGGACATCTCAATAAATTATAGAAAAAAAATAATTATATACTACTCTTAGTGGTGATAGTTGTCACATATTCCACGGGTGAGGTTGTGGTGGTTGTAGAGGTGAGAGATTGCAATTCAAGGACCTTACTACATATAGATATTTATGCAATATTATTGTTCATCTCCTGATTTTGAATAGAAATTATATGTGACATTATGATAGTTATATTAAAAAAAATGTAAAATCTATGGTCTTGCATAAAATTTGTATATTAGAAAAGAAAAGCATATAAAAAAAATTTAAAGGATAAATATATTATGAGATATACCAAGTTGGTAACATTTTTTCTGTTTGAAAATAAAAGGTGGTGATGGTTGAAACTAGTTCAGTTCATCCCACACCATGAAATGATTTTTTTTTTTTTTTGTAAAGATAGAAAAGATTACAAAGATGATCGCAATGAAAATTGAAGTATATATTTAGTGTGAAGATAAGACATAAATAGAAAGAAAAATAAAAATATTATTCGCTTAATCGAGCATTTTTATAAAATAGATATTTTAAAGAGATCATTAGTTTTTTTTCTTCTTTTTCTCGTGAGAGTATTTTCATAGATATTTCTTAATCTTTAATATATTTTAATGTATCATTTTTTATCCTTATTTTTAGATTTAATTTAATATTATTTTTTTATAAAAACAACGTACATAAAATAGAAATGTTTACGCTCAACATTCAGTTTAATATATGATTGATAGTATTGTGTCTCAAAATTATTGAAATATTTAAAATGATTAATTTGACATAAGGTTATGTCGCAGGGTTATTGATTAATTAAAATGCTTAATAGTAGTTAATAACCTGAAAATAAAATTCATTTTTATTTATATATGCGATTAACCATGTGTGCATGATGAGCATTTAATTAATATATTTTTTTTATCTATAATTATCAATATTTAAAATAATTATTAATAGATAAAAATAATATCACATCACGATATAAGTGATTAAAAATTTAATATATAATTTATATATTAAAATATTTAATTTACAAATTTAATCATAATATAATTTCGATAAACAATTATTTATTATATAATTCAGTTTTATAAAATAATTATTTACCATACACTAACATACTAAATTTGTAAGATTATTTTTATTCAATTTTTAAAATATTATTAATTAAATATATAATTTTGCACATATATGTATATATAT